ATAAAGGGCTCATGGTATTCCACTGGTATTCTTGTGACCCTATTTAGGGTCCATTATATTGTTGTGACTCTATATATATGGCTAATAGCATTCCACTGGTATTTCTGTGACCCTATTTATAAATAGGTCATTTGATATTGCTGTGACCCTATATATAGGGCTCATGGTATTCCACTGGTATTCTTGTGACCCTATTTTTAAATAGGTCATTTGTAATTGCTGTGACCCTATTTAGGGTCCATTATATTGTTATGACTCTATATATATGGCTCATAGTATTCCACTGGTATTTCTGTGACCCTATTTAGAAATAGGTCATTTGATATTGCTGTGACCCTATATATAGGGCTCATGGTATTCCACTGGTATTCTTGTGACCCTATTTTTATATAATATAGTTTTTATAACATAACAGAAGTATACTTTGTGACCCTATTTCTATATAAAGTAATGATGTATAAGCACCAAGTATCATACTAGTTTTCCATCAAAATGTAAATATCAAATCGGTTGCGGGTGCCTTTTGTACATATATTTGTATTTGTTGTCAATTAAAAATGGTTAAAATACCCGTTATTGTAAAACTATACAACATACCCCGTGAAATTTTATCATTGAGATTACTGCTACTCCACTTTTGACAAACGGATTGTTAAAGCATTGATCCCTCTCCCTTCCAAGTACAAAAAACATGTACCTTATAGAAATTTAAATATTACAAATAGCATAAATGTAACCGAGTAAGGTTGAATTCAGAATTCAGTTCAAGGAGCCGAAAATCTTTATTTACTCGCACAAGCTGCAGATGATACACAATGATTGGCTTGCATTGCTGATCAGCATCCCCTAGTTGCCATCTGCCGATAAAAAAATCTGTTCCAGAGATCATCACACAGCCAGGCTGTACACATGTTGTTTCGCTGATGCCCTGTCTGCAACTGACTCGTTCTCGGCTCTCCACATGTTAACCCAAACCAGTAAAACCAACCGGATCTGGATCATGAGCACTCGAATTAACATAGCACATCTGGATTTAACAACTGATGCATTTCAAAAATGAAATGAATGAGTTTTACGTCCTACTTTTCTGCACCATGTGTGCTAATGAAGACGGGTGATCAATACTATCGCATAATATCTAACAAGTTACACAAACTTATTTGATTGTGATCTCAACTTTAATTTTTAAGTGACAAATTATTAATCACAAGACAATTAGACATGGTACTTTAGACACACTTCTTTTAGGCACACGGCCATTTAGGTACAGCTTTATTGAAGCACAGTAAATAATTCAAATATCTGTGCCCAAAATACTGCTTACACCTTATAACAGAGACGATTTCAAAAGAGATTTTTCTACAATAGTAGAATTTTGTAGTTGAAATCTTCCAAGTAAGATGTAATAAGATAAAATAAACCATTTGAAGGTTTGTAAGACAAGGTAATATAGACCCACTGATAACTTGCCATGGCCACAGTCAAGGTAAAATATTAACAACTTCGTCTTAAGTCGTTAGCCGAAATAAAATTACTAATTACTATTATTTGAATGAAACAATCCCAAACGGAGAGAAATCTCGAGCTCAAGGGAGGTAACTAGTAATGATTTTTATGAATCTGGAACTGCATCGTTACCTTATTATCCGTGTCGGTCAATCAAGTAAATCAGCAAATGGCGTGGGGAAAAAGCACCGCGGATCAGTTGGATAGCATACAATCTATTCATTGAGGCATTGGTGATGTAATTCTGTCTGTCGTTAACAAAGGTTGGTCGAAAGAAAAGGAGGTTTTTCAGTAAAATCGGTGGAACAGCGTAATGTACTTTATCTTGTCTGGAGAAAAATCAACCAATCGAATAAGATATAATTTAACAAAGCGTGCATGGAAGTACGTCAAAATACACGCGTATCACCGAAAAAGTACAAATTACGAACGCAAAATATCCACCCAAAACATCAGAATCCTAGGTGTCAACGATTTCACGAATTGTGTAGAGCATTTCATTTTGGTCTTAGTAGAGAAAGATTCCAACGATGGCAATGCCACTAAGAATCCATTCAAGTTTCACCACCATCGTCACCTTAATGAAAACTTGTGGACGCACATTGCATGGATTTCGTTTAATATGCAAGCCACGAGCCGTATTTAGACTTGTTTAAAAGCGTGGCTGTATCAAACACCAAAGAAGACTAAAGATTTATCTAAAATGTCGTCCAGAAGTTTGTCTGTAGAATTGAGATTACAAAATCAATTGTTATTTGCCGAATATGACAATGTCTTCAAATTGAACTCACACACGTGGATTGGTAGACCAATGTTTACGTCTTAGTTGGAAGATGACTTGACGCGTCACGGAAAGTTTAGGGCGCCTTGGCTATAATTTACAATTTCACAGAGCACAGACGTATGGATTGACTAAACCAAACAAATCGAAATATGAACTATAAATCTCTCGTTTCCGACGACATGTCCGAACGTTATTTTGAATATCCATTTAACTTAATTTCATTCGGTGCAAACGGGCTAATATATATCACACTCGTTAATAGGCTCACTTTTCATCATTTGTTACACACACGGACTAACAAATTTCTTCAAAAAAGTAAATAAAATACCAAACCATCGAATACAGCTTCGTGGAATTATTTCATGACTATACAAACACAATATTTACGTTGGAAAAAGAAAAAGTTTATATCAGATCCCATGTGTTTATCTTCCACTTGGCATATTAACATGTTCTCATTTCATCGTTTATAAAAAAAATTAAAAACGCTGTAGACAAATTAATACGTGAAAAGCAATTTTTTAACATTTGAACATAACACAATTTCTAAAATACGCGAGGATTCCGTGCTATTAGTCATTAAAGGAAGTTGATTATATTTATGAGAATCGGACCGATGTATCGCGATTATTTTTTTCTTCCGCAATGCATCAATAAGAAGGAACGAATCGCGGTTCATCGATTCAACTGTCAATCGTTGCAGCCATAGACTACAGAATCGAAATCCATTCTCCTATGACAAAAAGGTAGCTTTCATTTGCGAGAGATAACAAATTTCGTATTGCTCAATTTCGGATTTATGGAAAATGCTTGTTACAAACCCTCAGAGTATATAAAAAAGACAAATCTATTAACTTCTAATTTTATTCAAAATAATTAGTTTAATCAAATTAGTTAGCATTTATTACACATTGACGAATTCAAAGGCCGATTTTTCTACAATGGCCCCTTCTTCATCGTCAAGAAAAGGTAATTCCCGTATATCCTTTAGCGTGGTATAGTTAACATCAACTTTGATTGGTTTAATTTATCAGAAAACAAAAGATACGAAATTGTAATCTGATTTAAACCAGATTCGGTTGATGTCAGGCCCATCTAAGGAGTATCGACAGATGTAACTATATGCTGAGAGATTTTAATATGTATTCGGCCATTATAATCATGATATACTTTCTATAACTCTTTAATGCAGAATTTCATTTAGGGGAGACTAGCATATTGAGATTCAGACTACAATTAATGATTTGCTACAGGCCGTGAAATCATGGTACTGTTGAGTACTCACATTATCTGCTGATTATCAAATAACGATATTTTTGTAGACCTTTCAGGTACCCATTGTGAACTTTGCTAATTCCTTTAATGGGGCTACGGGCTCAGTATTATACCTGATATAACTGTATACGTATATAGACACAGCTTTATGGAACAACAATCACTGGTTAAAGTTTTATGCAACGTTTCGACGTGTTTCCCCCGTCGTCCTCAGGCACATAATGAGAAGAAGTGATGGGCAAACTATATATACATTAATGCTTATTATTAAGAACACACAAGAGAAAATGGTTTATTGATACATTACATTAAATTTTAACAGGTACAATAAGAGGTATATAATTCTTAAAATAACATACAGGCTGATTAAGTAAAATAATTGAAGTAAAGTAAATGAATTAAAAAAGAGATTAATTGAAGATTAAATAAACAACTATTGCTGGTATTGGAGTCTTTTATTAATAGAAATTACATTGTTCATATAACTAACTATGCTTAAGGTTGGAAATTGTTTTTGAATATGAATAATTACAAGTTGATAAGTTTATCATATGCATGCGATAAACGAACACCTTCATCTCTGTTAAGGTCAGGCTGATGTCTTCTGATGTGGATAGCTTCATGAAGTCTCCTGGTTTTATCTATGTGCTTATTGATTGTCAGTATGTTGGTGTTGTCAAAGTTGACTTTATGTCCTGTTTTCCTTCCCATAGCAAGATGTTTAGCCACAGCAGATGTTCCTTCATTGCCGGGCTTGTCATGATGGTCTTTGAGTCGAACATCAAGGGGTCTCTTTGTTTCCCCTATATACGAGCTTCCACAGGAGCACTCAACTTGGTAGACACATCCCTTAGGTTTTTGGTTGTTGGAGGGATTCAATTTACCACTGGCTCTGAGCAAATCTTTAAGCGTTGAGTTGCCAGAGAACACTGTTTCAATGCCGACTGACTTTTTCAGGATCTTCTTGATTTGGTATGATGCCTTTCCGATGAATGGGATAGCTAAGCGGGTTGATGGTCTGTTGTTTGATACTACACTTACTACAGACAGCATCGTCGATCTCATTCAGATGTGTATGTCCTCTACCTACTTCACATGGGGAGATGAGATCTATGAACAAATCCACGGTCTACCTATGGGAAGCCC